TAAAGCAATATTGTGTCACCAGCATCCGAAAAGTTTCTAAAGCAAGTAGATTTTGAGAAATAAACTCACAAAGCTGACATGATTTGGGGTTTTTTAATTGTTAAAAAAAAATCTGATGTAAGAGCCCAGTAACAGATAAATCCACAACTTACACCTTGCTTGTTACATGCTCAAGAGAATGATGTTAAAGCACTGACATTTATGTAAGCAGCACAGCACACAGTACTGCTGAAGCTAATGGTGATGTCATTGGTGTTGGTCTTTATCACTAACCAAAGTAGCTGTGATGCAACAGGTGTGTAAATAAATGTATAGCAATCAGTCAAGACCTAACCGCCTCATGTACTATAGTGATGGTTATTCCTGATGTAGTTTAGGTTCTCAAGCAATGTGTCCTAAAATATCTCCAGGGAATGTTCATTGTGGGGAAAGGATGGTCAAGGTTCAAGGCTCTGGCCACTGAGGGCAAAGGGTCAAACTAGTAAAAGTCTAAAATGAAAGAGGCTCACACGCTTGCTGAAAAGCTTTGTATCACCTTGATTTACTTGCTGACCTCTTAAAGAATCCCTCGGTAGGCCGGTGACATCACAAAGAGGTAAATATTAACTTACTGTGAGATCAGAATCAGCAAAGGGCTATGTGTTTTAAGACTTTAGGTCTATATTTAGGTATCTAAGTGTAATCGCGGAGGAACATTTTTTTTATAAAAAGCATAGAACTGGTTCCACCCAACAAGATTGATAAACATAGCTTGCTGATCACATGTTGGTGATGCCTAGTGATCACAAGTATTTTGGGGTGCTTCTAGCAGGTCTAAATTCCACAACTCTTTGTCCCTATGGATGAGGTGACATGGACACTTTCAGATGTTTACTCCTGTTTGCACTGCAAATTCCAAGATTGCCTCATGGTGAAGAAGGAAGGAGTAAGGAATGTGGCTGCCTTACAAACTCAGATGCCATAAACTCATCTAAAATTGTGACCAAGCTATGGGATGGCAACTGTTAAACTGTTAAAAGCAGATTCTTAACAGTCAGTTCCTATGGTGATGGGCTTTATAACTGTAAAAAGTACACTTGCGGCCCTTCAAATATTTAAAAATGCATCGACAGTTGCCATGTTGAATTCAGTTGGTGGGATGTATATGCACTGTGCATGAACTAAACACAAGTATTCATGATTTGAAGAGTAGAGGTCACACATAATAGTCAAGAAGTGAGAACGAATGGCAGAATGGGCACACATTGGTTACATCTAATAATTAAGGACAGCACATTTCTACACAATACTACTGTGTCTTCTGTCTAGCTACCATTCTATGTGTAATCTACTCACTTATACTGTTAACAAACTATATCCTATATTTGGGCCAAATGAGTGTTTTAATTAATTGTCTAG